CGCCCATGCTAGACAAATTCAAAAAGGTTTATGAACAAGCTCTGCTATTCATCCTCACGAGAACACCTCAAAAAGGTGAAATACATTTTAAAAAAGAAAACCTATCTGTAAGATGAAAGCGTGTAACTGCCTCTATTCTACCAGAATCAAAAGAAAAACAGAATAGACTGAACATAAAGTTGTATATTGTTCACCTGTATTCTTGGCCCTCAGAGACCCCAGCTCCTTTTTCAATGAGCTTGTTGAGACAGGTTATTTCCTCCTTTAATTTCTGGATTGTTTCTTTTGCCTGCAACTCCTTTGCATGTGACGCTTCAACCATTTTCCAAGCCTTGTCAATTTCCTAATCAACAGTACAATAAACAGATAATTTGCTAGGGCAAATAATGTGGCAAAATTAAGTCTAATATGAGGACATCATCTTTACTTCTGAAGACACAATGAGCACAACGTCCATTTTAGAGTGCAGTAATTTCAGGCTAATGTACCATTTTAAGAGAGGTGATTGTGGCTTGATCTTCATCAGCTAGTTTCATGGCTGTGGATACTTTGACGGTGTTGGACATTATCTCTGCGTTTAGCTCCCTGCATTTGGACATCAGTCTCTTTTCGTTCTCGTGGGACTTCCGCAGAGCTTTGGCGATCTTCTCATATTCCACACGGAACTTCTCGAACTTTTCGTCTCCTAATAACTCATTTAAAACCTCCTGGATGTCTTTTTCCAATGCTTCAAAGGTGCTTTCCTCAGTCTGAAAATCAGAAAATGTACAGTAAGTGATATTATAAGATGTTGCCTGATAACTTAGGACCTATACTGACAGTGTAAATGTTGAAGAGAGTCTGAAAGTGTTGAAGAGAATCTGGCAGATTTGTAAAGTCTACAGTAGCACTGCTGATGACATACTGAAATATGTGATCAAACACAAAAAAACTAAGAGGAGGCAGAAGGTGCTGGTTTTAATACAGTTGGAGATTTCACTGCAAAATCACAGAAAAAAATGAAAGGAATCATGCACTGAAGCTTTGTCTAATCCATCTAAATATACAGTTAATTGATTGCGGTCAATCATTCCTTCAAACCATTATTTCAGATCGCTCAGCAATTACACGATTTACAAAAGATTGATGGGGTGAAAAAGCCTAAGGCATCTTTTGGCAGAAAATAAATAATTGGTGAGAAAAAAGTAAAAGAACTGCTGCTTTCAATTTGCAATTTCTGCTCTATAAATAAATAAATGCTTTTATCCTTGTGTTATTAAAAGCATAAATAGCAAATAATGAATACAGTTAAAATGGGACACTTTCTGATAATTTTCCATTATGTTGTTTCAAATAGAATTACAAATATCTGTCCCACTATCTGTATTTAGAAACCATAAACCAAGTTGTTAATGTTTACAACAATGTTGACAATCGTACAACATGTAGCCTACTTCTAAAAAAAAAAAAAATCACTAAAAAATCAAAACTGGTAAAGGCTTATAAAACGAGGTTCCATAAAACGTACATTTTTATTTGTTTGTTTTTTTCGTATTTTATCTTTTAGAATATAAAATACAACTATATTTAGAGTATATTTCAGCTATTTCATCTAGCATAGACTGTAGACTACTTTAAAGACGTGACTCTTCACTTTACCGTAACAACTCGAAATACTGAAATGCTTCAGGATATAGTGTAATGTGATAAATATTGAAGATATTTCACTGGGACCACAGCAAAAATTTAGTGTTTGAAATGCTAATAACTAACTTAGTCATTACTAAATTTTAGCCGTGTCTCATTCTAAGGTCTAGTAGTGGTTATGTCACTCCACACAGTGCGGCAAAAGTGTCAGATCAACATACCTCCATTGTGGTCGTTTGTCGTTCCTCTCTTAAACCCAGCAAGATGTTGTTGTTTTGTATTTAGTGAACTGTAGCACACAGAATATCCGTGTTTTGCTTTAACAACACACACTACTATGTTTTGGTCACCAAGGATACGCGTCCTCGTTGCCTGGCAACCGAGACCCGCTGAGCACTTTGGTTCAACTATTGTGTCTCACGAAATGATTGTGACGGGACATAACGCTCCCAAATATTATGGAGACAATATTATACAGAGATAAGACACTATGAAATGAAGAATAATGAGTAAATAATATATAAGGTCCATCAAAGTTTTTAGTGCATGCATCCTGCTTTGTTTGTCTTGTCCTTTACACTAGGTGGCAGCTTTACACAGTGCAACGCCTTGTGATAAAGAGCAGTGAAAAATATTTATCAGTTCCATTAAACATATGTATAACATAGGGTGAGTTCAGCAAATGTGGGACAAATGATTATTATGACCAACTGCCCTTTAAAAATTGTAATTATATTGTCATTAATAATTGCACAAGGACACTGTCATTCTGGAAGTGTTTTAATTTATCTGACATCATAATAGTGGATCATCACACTTAAACATCTAACAGAATAGAAATCATCTACTTAAAACTTATAAGGATTTTTTTATTTTTTTTTTTATTGAATAATATGTAAGTAAGGATATGTTGTAATACTGGCTGTAAGGTAAAGGTGGACACTTTTTAAAACTGTTCTGATGGATTATGGTCATTAGTCATCAAACTTTTATGAGCTTATATGAAACATTTCGTTTAACAGTTGCAGCCTTGACATTTAGTGAACTTGAACGATGTATTTTTTTGGGGGGGGGGGGACACTTTGCTGAACATTTATGGTCATTTTGACCAAACTAGTTAGGGCTGGTATAACAAACCATCTATTGCATGGACTGAAAAAAAATCCATAAATCATAGACCTGTGTCTAATTAATTGATTGATTGATTGATTGATTGATTGATTGATTGATTGATTGATTGATTGATTGTTTGATTTATTGATTGTATAATTCAAATATATATATGTTTATATATGTTTTAAATGTACAGGTGCATCTCAATAAATTAGAATGTCGTGGAAAAGTTCATTTATTTCAGTAATTCAACTCAAATTGTGAAACTCGTGTATTAAATAAATTCAATGCACACAGACTGAAGTAGTTTAAGTCTTTGGTTCTTTTAATTGTGATGATTTTGGCTCACATTTAACAAAAGCCCACCAATTCACTATCTCAACAAATTAGAATACTTCATAAGACCAATAAAAAAACATTTTTAGTGAATTGTTGGC